TATATTTTCCAGGGCTACTATAATCTCGGTACAGGTTATCACCACTTCCAACCTTTAGCACAAACATATTTTTGAATTTACAGTTCCGCTAGATAAACAGGCATGCAAGAAAACACGTCAACATAGACACCTGATGATGGAGTGTAGAGCACATACTCTGCAGGATACACAATAACGGTGCCACACGTGTTTCATTCTACCGGGATGGCCAGATGTTATATTACATGTGTCTCTGTTTGTCCAGATTCTGTCGGCCATTGTGAAGATCATGAAGGAGTGTTGGTACCAGAGCCCACCAGCCCGCCTCACTGCCCTGCGGGTGAGGAAGACACTCACCAAACTGGACCATGACAGTGACTTCAACATTGAAAAACTCAAGCGGGACATCTAGACCACAGCACCGGGATGAAACAGGGACAAAAGACTGAAAACGCCAAGAGGGATTATGCACCAAAAGCACAAAGTGCATATCATTAGCATGTTTAAGGCTAATGACTCTCACAGTCACTGCATTATATTAAAACCACATGACTATAGCAGTAGTGTCTAGACTGGCTCCCAAGGCTATTTTTCTTTGCGTAGCCTTATTTTTATCTGCCATTTTTCTGGGGCCTCAGACCAAAAGGCTCCAAAAGAAAACTATTAAGACCAAATAAAATGATGTATATTTATTTTTTTAATGTTCAGCTAAAGGACATGTCCAAAGCACAATAATTAACACCGAACAATTCATAGGCTGTTCAACACACATACGGTTTTATTATAAATTCCCCCATCGTCAGGAAAATCTGGCATGGCCAAATTACTCATCATTTTAATCAAGAAGAGGAAGAGCACGTCATTTTGGACTTTCTCTGAAATACAGTTAAATTGCACAATGGGTTTTCCCAAAAATGACCAAAGTTACAGATAACTTGATGGGGGGGGGGGGGGGGGGGGAAGATCGGAAGAGCGTCGTAGAGTTGGCTAAGGCTAATGACTCTCACACTACTGCTATAGTCATGTGGTTTTAATATAATGCAGTGACTGTG